GTGGCCGGGAGCGGCCACTGCACTCCAGTCTGGGCGACAGAGTGAGACTCAACTCAAAAAAATTAATCAATCAATAAAAATAAAAATAACTAAAAAAAATAAAAACCTGATAGGCTGGGTCATGTGTCTCACACCTGTAATCCCATCACTTTGGGAGGCTGAAGCAGGAGGATCCCTTGAGACCAGCCTGGGTCACAGATAAAAAATAAAATAAACCAGGCCTGGTGGCTCACACCTGTAATCCCAGCATTTTGGGAGGTGGAGGTGAGAGGATTGCCTGAGTTCAGGGGTTCGAGACAGCCTAGGCAACTTGGCGAGACCTCATCTCTACACTAAATCACAAAATTGGCTGGGCGTGGTGGTGCATGCCTGTAGTTCCAGCTACTTAGAAGGTTGAGGCAGAAGGATCGCCTGAGCCCAGCAGGTGGAGGCTGCTGTGGCCGTGAGCATGCCACTGCACTCCAGCCTGGATGACAGAGTGAGAGTGCAACTCAAATAATAATAATAATAATCTGATAAAATAAAGGAGCCGGTCTCCCTGGGTTCAGATTCTCCTAGTTGTTGCTCATTCTCTCGGCCTCAGTTTCCCCATCTGTAAAATAGGGGTGATGGAGAGGTTGGACAAGGAAGGTAAGGACAGAGATCCTTCCCTGGCCCCCAGGGTCACTCTACACTCTGGGCTCCGAGTTTCAGGCAGCAAGAACAAATCAGTCGAGCTGGAGGACGTGAAATTCCACCAGTGCGTGCGGCTGTCGCGTTTTGACAATGACCGCACCATCTCCTTCATTCCGCCCGATGGTGACTTTGAGCTCATGTCCTACCGCCTTAGCACCCAGGTGATGCAGGGCTCAGCCCCTTGGGAGCAGGGTAGGGTGGGGTCTGAGAGTTTACCCCAGAATCTCCAGCAACTCCCCCTTCCTCTGTCTACAGGTCAAGCCGCTGATCTGGATTGAGTCTGTCATTGAGAAATTCTCCCACAGTCGTGTAGAAATCATGGTCAAGGTGGGCCTGAGAGGACACATTCATAATGCATATCCTGGCTTGGCGCAGGGGCTCACATCTATAATTTTCAGAGCTTAGGGAGGCACGGGCAAGAGGATCGCTTCAGGCCAGGAGTTCAAGACCAGTTTGGGCAACATAGCAAGACCCTATCTCTACAAAAAATTTAAAAAGTTAGGAGGTTATATTACCATACTCCTGAGTCCCAGTTATTAGGGAGGCTGAGGCAGGAGGATTGCCCGAGCCCAGGAGCTCCAGGCAGCAGTGGGGTATGATTTTGCCACTGCACTTTAGCCTGAGCACCAGAGCCAGACCCTGTCTCTTCAAAACAAAAACCAGAAAGCACTATAACATCTATCCTCTCCTACTCAGTGTCCAATCTGACCTCACCTCCCACTTCCCTCTTGGCTCTTCTCACTTCCTTCCCACTACTCTAGGTTCCTGGGTGGTTTTCTTTTTTTTTCTTTTTATTTTATTTTATTTTTTTGAGTTGGAGTCTCACTCTGTCACCCAGACTGGAGTG